TTTTAATTAATTAAAAAAATTAATAATCTAAACTTACCATTCAGCGGTTTGACCTCATCACAGACTGTCCCTGGACCAGCTGGAAGAGCTATAAAATACAGACAAAGTATGATACTAAAACCACAACTAAAAGGATCTGCATGTGAAGAAAAACAAGAAGGAAAATCGAACACAACCAGTCATAATGCAGAATCCAAAAACACATGCATGGTCCTTTTTCCAGAAAGGATGCCACCTACGATTTATTGCATGTTGAACAGTGAGTGGGATGAGGTTTCATGTACGAGCTTCTCAATGTGTCTCAAAGAGCGACGTCACATATTTTATAAGGCAGTTCTGCCCTATAAAAAGTAGTGACTACATGTGTAGTCAAAATTAGGTTAAGACCTGAATGAGTTTTTTTGAAATGTTACCCTATCATTTACAGTTAGCTGCTTTGATAGCTTCAGCTAAAGCTAATTTACCCTTTCCTGTCTCACAATGGATGGATAATTAGTAACTAAAGTAATAATAAAGCAGCTTAAAGTAATTATTGTGAAGAAAAAACGCTACCCTTTAGCCTCGCCAAGCAGTGCTGCAGTAGCAGCTGCCCAATGAAATACATCTGATTTTATATTAGAACTGCAACAATTAATTGAGTAGTTGTTACCTAATCCCCAACTGTTTTATGATCCAATACTGTTTCAATTTAAAAGGTCTAAATTATTTTTTTTGCTGACATGTCATGATTTTATTTCAGATATCAATGACATCCTTCTGAGCAGTCAAAACAACCGTTAGAGATATGTGTGGTTCAGTGTAGAACGGTCAGAACAACAGCTACAGATACCTTAACCGTCATTACAACTAGTCTGAACTGTTGTGATGCTGCTGCTCATATGAGGCGTCCTGTTGGATATTATTCTAGCAAAGCCTTTGAACAGTGTCAGCAGAAGTCATGCACCTGCTGTTGTGGATAAGAATGTTATAAAATGCTATTAAATACAAAGAGCTGATCAGTTTGTGGAGAATGAGAGCTTTGTCCAAAAAAGACTTGTGGTTGAAATTTACTAAAACAACATTAATTCTTCCAATCAAAACTTTTATTCAAGATATCTGTAATTACAGAATTCATAATGAAGCTGTCCATGTGGAACGGGGCTAAAAGCATGTGTATTATAGGCATTGTAGAATTAACATTCTGTGCAATATTTTGGGCTAAAACTGTAAACACACACTCTATGGACATGTGACAGTGACATTAACTTCTTATAGAGGGGTCCAATAGGGGACCTTTAAAATGTCATCAGCCTCCTTTAACAAGCCTGACTTCTCTGTAATCTGTGTTCCACTTCACAGTGTGACTCTCTTCACTTTGAATTCTGCAGATGAGTCCACAGAAGCCCAAATATGAACTTTGTTGTTGCAGCATGAGTGAGTGAGTCTGTCTCCTGCTGCAGCTGGTTCACTCTGAAAACTTTAGTCAACTTACCCTCTGTGAGTGTGACGGTGGTGGCCGTGTTGACCGTGACAGGTAAAGTTATCTCAGCATCCGAGTCTCCAGCCGGTAAACTGATGATGGTGGCCTCCCCCAGGAGGTTACAGATCCTCTGCTGCATGGCAGTGAGGATGACGGGAACTGGAGTGCAGTCGGCGGACGTCGCCTCTATCGCTGCCCGCGCCTGGGCCACTTTCCGCCGGACCTCCGTCTTCATGTCCGACCACTTCTTTTTCACCTCGGGCAACTCTCTGGGACAGGTAGTGACAGCGTTCACCTTTTTCAGGATGTCCACCCACGCGTTATTCTTTGCCATGTGGGTGACTCCAGCATTGAAGTGGTTAACCAGTGTGTGCTTTTGTTTCTCTATTTCTTCTACTATAATTTCCACCTCTCTTTCCGAGAAATTCATTTTTCTCTTTTTGGCGACCGATGCCATAATTGCAGAAAACCCTCTTTAGGAGAGGTAATTGTGCGTATTGTACGCAAAAATAGTAGGATTTACTCAATTGATGTGCGCAACGTAATGGCTTCCAGAATCGGCTTCTTCTTCCTACTAACAACGCTTACGTTGGCTGGACTGGAGCCCCGCCCACCGGAGCCTCATTGGTTGGACATCCCGCGGTCATGCAGTATTCTCTGATCCTATTGGAAGACCAAGCGCCAATCAGTCAGCGAGTCAAACAAACTATGTGCTTCAGAAGCCTTAATCAAAAAACTTACCGTTATTTCACTTTTAATACTTATTAAGTTGAAGTAGTTTTTTTTATTTATTTCAGTTTTCATTTCAAAAAAGGTAAAATGTAGGTTTTTATGGCAAATAATTATTCCAAGCAGCAGAAAGTTGGAAAAGCAGTACAAAAAGATAAATAATATTGTATCAGAAAACTACATATTAATGAGTAAAAGAACTAGACACAGTCTGCATGTGCAGTAAAAGAGTGAAAAGCATACTCAGACCTGCATTAGTAAAAGTTAAAAATATGTGTGTGTATACAGGGCTGTAAAAAAGTACGGGGATTGAAGATATTCTGATTCTTATCTGTTACATAAAACCATCAGGGTGTGTCTGACAACAACAGATTCACTTTGCAGTATCACAACATGCACAAACATCGAGCCATCATATAAAAAAAAACAACAACATATGGACATGTTAACAAGGTAAAAAAAAAATTTAAAAAAGGGGATTTTCAATGAAGGGTCTTTGAGCTCGGTAAGAAGTTATGATGGAAATTGAGTAGCCATCATCCAGCAGCTGGAGGGAGGTGTTGTGAGAGAAAGACTGCCTGGGAATAATAATTTGCCAGGACTTTAGACTCAGACCGGCCCATTAACTCAGCTGGCACAGCACCACCATACAAACTGTAGCCAGGCTTAAATGGTAAACAAAGATTTGATTCTTAAATGACATGTGACAGGTTCTTAAACAATGCAAGAAACTGACCCTGTGTTATGTACTTTAAAAGGACTGTCAGTGTTTATTATATTCTTATCACGCTACATATGGAGGGGCAAGTTCTCTCTGTTCTGGACAGTTTGCCTTCGTCTTATTATGGGACGATTGCCTTATGTTTCTCTTACACCTTGCATAGGACTGCATTATTAATTTCTCTTTCATCCATCACAGGAATGTAGCTCACTGTGGTGGGAGTGTAACTTCCTGCATCAGCAGCATATCTCTCTAAGAAATCCTTCACATCCTCAAAAACTAATAAGCCAACCGGAGATACAGAAAACCAATCTTCAGCATTTTTCCATCGAATACAGTCGTCTGCCTCACAAGTAGTGCATTCTTAGTAATGACCATGAACTGTAAGTGAGTGAGCACACATCAGCTGAAGTAGTGTTATCAGCATTTGTCAGTTGTAAGCTATTAACTACAAGAACCAGTGTAGGATCCAAATCAAACTGGACCGTACTTCAGCAAATGCAGTAGTCGTGCTTTTCTTAACATCTCGTATTCATTCTGTAACGAAGTTCTGTCCAAGCTCATCACACAGTCTATACCTTCTCTGTAAACCAAATCTCTACACGATGCTACTCTGATTCTCCTCTCTGGCTAATTTTGCATTTACATTTCAAATGAATTTGCAGAAAATGTATGTACAAAAGAATGCAGATCTATACATTCTAACACTGCATACAGTGCTGTAAAAAAGTATTTGCCTCCCTACAGGCATCTTCTATTTTTGCATATTTGTCACACGTAAATGTTTCATACCATCAAACTAATTATAAAATAAGATAAAAATAACCCAAGAAAACACAAAATGCAGTTTTGAAATGATTATTCCATTTGTTAAAGGAAAAATGTCCCACCTTGCTCTATCTAAAAAAGTAGTTGCCCCCTTAGCCACCAATTTACCAAATGATTAAAGTAATTTTGCAATTGGGTTCAATTCCACCAGCCACACCCACGTATGATTACCGCCAGGCTTGTTGAATCTAAACATCACTTAAATAGAACCTGCCTGGCACTGAGAAGTAGCTAAATGGTCTCCAAAAGCAGCACATGACACCACGTTCTACAGAGTTTCAAGAACTGATGCGAAACAAAGTCATTGACATTTATCAGTCTGGAACGGGCCACAAAGCCATTGGTAAGGATCTGGGACTCCAGAGAAACACAGTGAGAGACATTATCCACAAACAGAGAAAACATGGAACAGTGGTGAACCTTCCCAGGAGTGGCCGGAAAACCAAAACTTCTCCAAGAGAAGAGCATGTTGACATCTCATCCAGGAGGCCACAAAAGAACCCAGACGAACATCAACAGAACTGCAGGCCTCACTGGCCTCAGTTAAGGTCAGTGTACATGATTCCACAATAAGGAAGACACTGGGCAGAAATAACATCGGCGTAACATGTGGCTCAGGTGGTAGAGCGAGTCGGTCGATGATCGGAAGGTCGGCGGTTCGATTCCGTGTAACCTGTTTCATGGTCGTTGTGTCCTTAGGCAAGACACTTCCCCCACCTTGCCTGGTGTGAATGCGTATGAATGGATTGTTTGAGGTGGTGGTCGGAGGGGCCGTAGGTGCAGAATGGCAGCCACGCCTCTGTCAGTCTGCCCCAGGGCAGCTGTGGCTACAATTGTAGCTACCACCACCGGAATGAATGTGTGAGAATGAATAATTGACAGTATAAAGCGTCTTTGAGTGTCTAGAAAAGCACTATATAAATCTGATCAGTTATTTTTATTATTATTATCAATGGGAGAGTTACAAGATGCAAACCACTCCTAACCAAAAGAAACATAAAGGCTCGTCTGGCATTTGCAAAAAATATCTGGATGAGCCCCAAGACTGTTGGGATAACATCCTGTGGACTGATGAGTCAAAGGTGAAACTTTTTGAAAGACATGTGTCCTGTTCCATCTGGCTTAAAGCTAATATTGCTTTCCACAAGAAGAACATCATACCAGCAGTGACACATGGTGGTGGTAGTGGATGGTTTGAGGCTGCTTTGCTTCCACAGGACCTGGACAACTTTTCATAATTGATGGAGCCATGAATTCTGCTCTCTATCAGAAAATCCTCCTGGAGAATATCCGTCTATCAGTTGATGACCTCAAGCTCAAGTGCAAATGGATTTTGCAGTATGACAATGATCCACAGCACACAAGCAAGTTCATCTCTGAATGGCTCAAAAAGAACAAAACTAAGTTTTGGAGGGCCGAGTCAAAGTCTGGACTCTAATCAAGACCTTACAAGAGCAGTTCATGCTGGAAAACCATCTAATGTGGCTGAATGAAAACTATTCTGCAGGACAAAATTCCTCCATGGCCATGTAAAAGACTAGCAAGACTAGCATTTAACTGAAGTTGTTGCTGCCAAGGGTGGACCAACCAGTTATTAGGTTAAGGGGGAAATTACTTATTCACAGGAGTGATATGGGTTTTCATTAAATCCTCAATAAATCATCATGAGTTATCTCAGTCTAATATTAAATAAATCTAAATATTAGTTTGATGATCTGGAACATTTAATTGTGAGAAATGCAAACTGCAAAAATAGAAGGCATCAGGAAGGAGTCAAATACTTTTTCACAGCACTGTATGTTGCACGATATGAACTGCTCCATTGAGATAACCAGTGCATGGTGCTGACTCTACAGCGTCGACCATTAAACTGTTCCAGCAGACACTGCAACGAGGTGACAATATTAGAGGCTTACTGATAAAATCTCAAATGGAGGGGGGGAAAAAAAACCCAGAAAACTTGATGGGAATACAAAATTCCTGTTGTTCAGGTATGAGGAAGGCTACTGTTTCCTCATCGCTCTACACATATCTGATCTATTGCACTTCATCACAGTTTTGTCATTATTTAACCTTTTAGCATTACCGTTGGTGTTTCACTCGTGCAGAACTGTTGCATGGGTGGTGCTATGCCTCATGGTGGATTTTAGTGAGATAGTATGAGTGACAACTTTGCTACACAGATGTATTGATCCACTATGAATGTATGCTGGAGCATGAGATCAGCTTGTCTGACCACGAACACTGACGAGGCTGGTGATATCCACTGCTAAAGAGGAATTCTGAGAGTCACTCTGATGGATAGTGAACAGGACGTATTTTCCAAAAGTTGACAGGCTGCATTTTGGAAAGACATTTATTGATGACAATGAATCGATACAGATTGTGTCTACACTTGTAAAACACATTCTATCAGGTTTGGGTTGACAAAGGAGACACAAAGAAATGTTCAAAACAATGATGGACTCAGTAAATGTATGTATATTATTTAACTGACCTAAGAGTTGAGCAGATTTCATCTGTATAACTTACAATTTAATTTAGGTGAATTTTATGGCTTGATGGGTCCATATGAGTATTAAAATAGGTCACGGTTGTTTATTTGGTTCTGAACAGATGTGGCTGAGGTTCTCGTGAAGGTGATGACCTCTCAGCTTCTCTGGATAAATCATTATGACAACATTTAATACAGGTTCAGTATGTCTCATTGATAGGCATACCTACAACAACTGCAAGTATTACCGTCAAGTTTAATTAAGGCCCATTTAAATAAGACTACAATTCCAGTGTACAACAGATTACACTGCGTTTGATTGGCAGTACCATTGATTCAACTAATGCCAACACTCGTGTTAGAAATATTTACACTCCTACAGCAAATAGATGAGTAGGCCATGTGTAAGACGCACACACTGACGAGAAGTGACAACATAAAAGTAGAAAGCGTGCAAAATGTTTTTCATTTAAAAATAAGTGTGAAAGATAAGAGTCAAGTGATCCAAATAGAGATGGTAAAAACCAGAAAACTCACAATTGGTACATATTGATATGCAGTTTTTGTACAAATGTAATGCAATGTGATAGACATCTCACCACGCGGGTTCATCCAAAGAACATCAGTGATAACTGAAGCACACACACAGACTTTCAGTCTGACAAATTCAGCTTACACTGTGCTATACATGAATGGGCTGTCTGCAGTTCATGTAAACACATTTGGCTTCAAGTAAGACTAAAGACATGAGCGCCACACATTTGTGTGCTTCTC